TTTTAATGAATGACGCTAATGATGTTTCAATGAGACATTTGAGACGCTTACATTTTAAATATGTTGATGCTTATGGAAAAACTGTAGATTTACACGGAGCTGACAGTAGTTTTAGTTTAACATTTGTTGAGACTTAATATTTCATCATAAAAATAATTATATAATATAAATATATGAGTAAAATAGAGGTGGTAGATGTTGTTAGTGAAAATAACGAAGCAGTAGAAGAAGTTAAACCTGTTGAGAATAATGAAGTAGTTGAAGAAGTTAAACCAGTTGAGAATAATGAAGTAGTTGATGAAGTTAAACCTATTGAAAATAATGAACTAGTTGAAAAAGAGTTTACTGTTAAAAAACAAATGAAGGAGAAAATGAACTGTCCTACTTGTGGAACTTTAATGACTGCTTACAACTATAAGTATAAACACGCTTGTCGTGGAGTGAAGAAGGGCACTAACAAAGTTATAGATTTAAACAAACCAATTAGAAAAAAGGTCATCAACCCAGTCCAAGCAGAAGAATTCAAAGAAGATGTTTATAACAGAGTAAAAAGCGATATTCCAAAAGTGGATGAACAAGAAATAGAAAGAAGAGTTGAAGAACGATTGAAAAAACATTTAGAAACAACAGCTAATAAAGTGTTTGAAACTGCAAAAGATAGATATATTAATATGAAGGTAGAACAAGACAATAAAAATAACCAGAAAATTAAGAATTTAGCAAGTAAAATTATTTAATCTAATTATTATTATATGAATAAGTCGGATTTTGAAAACATAAAATCAACACTTACAAAGAATGGTAAAGTAGGTAAATTACCAACATCAAACAAATTTTATAATCCCATAACAAAACCAAGTAAGAAGTTTAAATCAAGCGTCCATTACTATTATGAAGGAGACAACAAAGCACATCAACCAAATTATACATATCTGAAAGAAATGAAGGAACATTTAGAATTTCATAACGCTAAAAAGGATTATGCTATATTTCAAAATAAAAGAAGATATCAAGATGAAGCAAATTCAATGTTTAATGAGATACAAAGGTTAGAAAGTGAAAGAATAAGACATCATCCATCAAGTGAAACTGGTAAAAACTATTCGGAAATGATTAAGAAGAAAAAGGATATAATCAATCAATTAAGAAAGAATTATAAGTTTTAATAAAATAATTAGATTAATATGTTTATAATCTAATTAATTACATATAATGAGATTAGACAATGCACAGATGAAAACCGAAGGTTTAAATCTGCTATGGAGCAAAGCTCCATTACAGATGAAAACGCTAAAATCACAATTGCGATTAAGACCGTCCTATCATGAACTCATCAAGGAAATTACAAAGGAAGAATATAGAAAAAAGAATATAAGAGATGTAATAGACAGAAATGCTTATTATTTTCGTGATAGTCCTTTAGGAACAGTTTATGATAATAATACCGTAGATTTGAGACAACAACACTTTCAAAAAATATTAGAACAACCTAAAACCATTGAACAGTTTGATATGGCAAAGGACGATGAAATGGATGATTTAAGAGACGGAGCAATACAAACACTAAGTGCCACAATGGACGACACCGAGGAACAACACGAACAACAAATCAGTCAAATGTCAGAAGATGTTAGACGACAATTTTTAGATGATTTACACGAAAGGGCACGTGTAGCCACAGATTGGAGAAAAACAAAATATGATACACCATCAGAGGTACAATCAATGGCAACTGCTAAATCAAGCGATGATGACTTACCACCGTTAGAAACAAATATTACAAAGGATGAAGCAGTTAAACGGATACAAGGGGCACAAAGAGGACTAATGACAAGAGAAAATGAAAACATAGGCAGACAAACAAAGGATGATGATGAAAGCACGAAAGCACCACCTAAATCAAGAAAAGCAAGAGAAACAATAGATTACAACACAGACATAGACAGGTGGAAACACAAAGACATTAGCACAGATGACATCTTTTTTCAACTACATTTAAGAGGCTTTCAAATGACACCAGAACAACAAGCAAAGTATGACAGTTTAAAAACGAAAGGAAAGGGCAAAGACCAATCCAAGAAACAATACTTAATTAATGTGATTGAAGAATTAATTTCAAAGGGGAAATGGACAACAAAAGTAAATGATGAATTGTTAAGAAAAAGAATGGAAGAATGGAGAGATATGAAAGGAAAAGGTAAAGCATCAAAGGATTAACCAATCATTATACATAATTTGTCAATAGGAGTGAATACGACATCTAAATCATTTATATAATTTATCATCAATTATATAAAATGATTAACAATCTAAAACACGAGTTAAGGAAACGCCCTACTTATGATGAAATGCTTAAAAAAGCAATCACAAGCAAACTAAAAACAACAGTTATATTGAAGAAATACAAGAAAGGAATGTTATTGAATAATTTTGATTTTGATAAAATGGATTTGATGAATTATAAAAATAAAGAACGTTATATGAATGCAGAAGTTATGATGGCAGATAAGGCAACACAAACGCTTAACAAAGAGAACAAGGCAACACAAACAGACCTTCCAAATGATAAAGCGACACAAACCTATAATTTTGATGATGAGACAAAAATATTAGGTGGGTCTTCAAAGAGTTTCAAAAGCAAATTGATAACCAAGGCTGAAGCAGAAGCAGAAGCATTTACATATGACCCTGATATATATGATGATGACGATGATGATGATGATAAAAAAGATGATGACATTGATAAATATAGAAAGAAATTATTTATGTTGATGAGGATTATAGAAATTATGATGAGGTCGGGTTTTAGTATAGGTCAAATAGTAGCACATTTAACATATCACACTACAATAACCACAATTCAAAATTCAGAGTTATTAGTGAATTTAACAATGAATTCATTAGTTTCGTCTTATGATATAGCAAGTGCCATAATGAATTGGTTGAATACAAATGTTAGTGAAGAAGTTGAGTTAAACACTTCGCCTCCTATCAGTGTTCATAGTTCTCCGCCTATCACTGTTAATAGTTCTTCAACGCATACTGTTAATTCATCATCATCAGAAGAAAATGCTAATTATGAAATAGCACCTCCTACAGATATGCCTGTTCCTACCGGTGTGGATGGGGACGAGTCCTCATCCTCAGCGCTCGGGGAGCAGAGCTCCCCAACCGGTGCTGAAAGTGAAAATGATGAAACTGAAAACCAAAATACCAACCCTTCAAAAACAAAAACTACTTAAAGAAAAAATACCTTAATATATTAAGAGAAAAAATGAATAAGTGTATCAGAGAAGAATTGACAAAAGAAATTGTAAAATGCCGTGGTTGTAAGATATTCAACAACAAAGTTAAAAAAGCAAATGATATATTACCTGACTGTATCATTGATAATATTTTGAGTTTTGTAAGTTGTAAAAGATGCACCATTACAAAACATTTAATGAAAAACGAACCTGAAAATTTAAAAGAAATGGATAAGTGGATTTGGTATATGACGAGGTTAAATAAATATCCGACCAAAAAGTCATTACGGACAATATTTACAACAGGTTTAGACAAAATATTAAAAGAGTATGGATATGATAATAGTCTAATCTTGTATTATGAAACCGCTACTCTATTTCATTATAATTTAATTTTTATAATAATGACGGTTATGTATATTGTAGAGATTTTAGCATTTCAATGTGTAGAGATTTTCTTAAAATGTTGAAGTGGCAATATATAAAAAACAAAGACAAGGTCGTTTATAAACACATTTTTGATAATGAGTTTTATCATAAATTCGGTTGTCATTTGTTAGAAAAGAAAAGGTTGATTATAGACTGGTTTAATTATAGAGATACTGATGATAGTGATTATGACTAAGTTTATTCATATTATTTAACTATAATATGGTTAAACACTTGTATCTCCCCAGAAAGCCGTAAAAATGGACATAACAGCTCATAAAATAGATCTTGATCTTAAATGAACCCTAAAAAAAAACTACTTAAAGAAATATTACCTTATATATTAAGAGGAAAATGAACCCTAATTATAATTTACTGAAGATGAACAAAATGACATCATCGATGAATTCCTTAAATTTATTGAAATCAATGAATATAAAAACACCTTGACAAGTGAAATTAAAACGTGTCAGTGTAAATGCTATAAAAACCATAAGAACTACAAAGTGCTTGACAAAATGCCAGTTGATGAAAATATTATTAAGAATATCTATTCTATGACTTATGAATGTTTAACTTGTAAAGGTAAAAAGAGTTTCATAGAAGACTTTAACAATATTAATAAAATTAACAATGTAAATATGATTCGTTGGTATTTTACAAGACATAGTTTTCCTTCAATAGATGTTGTTAGGCAAGTAATTAAATGTAGCAAAGATAGATATTGTATTTTAAAGCACTTGTACAACAATGTAATTATCAAAAATAATTATGAAGAGGAATTGCTCGATATAATCCATAGAAACAAGTATAATGTTTATAAAACATTAGTAGATATCAATAAGATCATCAATCATATAGCTAAAACACAAAGAGGATGGTTTAAAACTGATTATGAACCAGTTATTACAACACAATCACTTCAAGAACGATTTTGGTATGTTTAATTATATTATTGTTAAATAATATGATTAAACCCTTGTATCCCCCAGAAAGCCTTAAAATGGTCTGAAACCTGAACCTTGAAAATGTCAAAATGTTAGACTGTTCTTAAATGAAAAAATTGTAAAAAAAAAAAAATGTTAAGAAATTTTAGGAAAAATCCCCACAATCAACCTTGGTGTTTTGAACAAAATGGTTTGCTTGTTGAAAAGCAACCCTGCACCCTGAAGCCCTGACTTGGAAATACCCTACCTCAGAATCAATCTTTTACTAATTTTTTCCCCCTCCCAACCCCCAACCCAGCACTACCCTCTCCCAACCCCCAACCCTACCATATGGCACCCCCAACCCCACCAACCCCCCCGACAGTTCTTCGACCCCCGCCGTGAGCTCCACGAGCTTCGCTACCTCCGGGTCCAAGTCCAGAAGCGACGCCTAGCTGCGACGCGGTCGCGACGCGAGCTGGGGATATCATCGACGGTCCCGGCGTAGGTGTTGGTGGGATCCCCGGCATTTCTAGCAGGGATCCCCATTGCCAAGTTCGGATGCCTTTCTCAAGATCAGGCGAAAATGCCGGTTGATGAGATTCCCATGGACTTTAAACCTAGTGGTTGACTGTTGTTGAGCGGGGTCCCTTATATGTCCAACCTAAAGATATCACCCCCACCCAAAAAGAAGCTGGTGACGGTGGCAAAATGATCCAAAAGGTGTTCTGAATCCCCAAATTTCAGGGGTGCGTCTTACAATATGGTTTTCCTTTGAAACCAACCTCAAAAAAGGTGACCTTAAAAAAAGACACGCCCATATCACTCCAGTGTCCTGAGCCAAAGGGCAGGATTCGAGCCACACAAGAAGAAAAGTCGAAAGACTTGAGCTGATCTTCCCTGGGTGTCCAGAACTTGTTAAGGTCAGTTTCGTGTGGCAACCAATCTTGGAGAGGTTTCAAAAGCCCCATTGCCATTAGACCCCTCAGCCAGCGATTTCGCCCCCTGCCGGGCGGCGGGTCTCAAGACCGCGCTATCTTGCGCAGGCCAGGGGTAGCGCCGGGCCTGCCGGTTGCCGATCGGCAAAGTTGACTGAGATGTAAGAAAAGCCTTGGCCCACAAGGGGGCACACAGACAATAGGATCTGATTCTGTTCGATATTTCGTGTACCCCAAAGTATTTTAAGCAGTTTTGGATGAGATCCCAGTGGTGAATTAGAAGGACTCCACAAATGAAATTCGGGGAAGTCCCTATAAAAGGAACATAGGGTGAGGTTGCACTTAGGGGTTGCGCGAAACAACACATGAATGGGCTCAGCAGCATACGGATGGCGGGCAGGAGTGGTTAAGTAGGCGAAGTCATCAACCCTGCACAATCCATGTGGGCCACGTCTAGCTTGGCATCCTCTTAACACCAAGTGCCAATGAAACTGCAACGTTTGGAGTTCCAAGGAAGGGCGGGCGAGGAAGCGCGGTTCAACGTGATTAATGAACCCAAAGAGTATTGCAATAGCGGCCAATAACCTCCCTTGCCAGAACCCAGGGCCGCCCCAAATCCAGGATTGGCGAAGACCCCGGAAGCAACACATGCGATTGGCATGGGTGAGCTCCAGCTCTGAGTACCAGACAGCCAGTTCCACCAGCATGACCCAAACAGGAGAACCCCCCCCACGAATTGCAATAGTTTCTTTCTGGCTCTTCTTTTACCCTCCAAAAGGGAGGAGGGACACACTTGCCACCATTCAATGATAAACCTCGATTTGGGTCCCAACAAGGGACCCTAGTTGGGCCACGAGGACCCAAAACGGCGTCATGTTTGCTCGCAAACCATGCGAATCCACAGAGCTGCGCGCTTAATCCAGTGCCTCAGCCAAGGAATGCTCGACGAGATGCTGAAAACGGTCAACTTCAAAAGATGCCAAATGGGTGTCGTTTTGGAGAGCACCTTTGGTTTGCATCATTTTGGGGGAAACCAAAAGAAAGCCACCATTTGGCAAAGGGCCGCAAAACGGCACATCCAAAGACGAAAATTTGGTGACCAGTCATGCCCAGTCCCGCGACGCATTCCAATGACAGTTGCCAAAGATCGGCATGCAGGTTTGAGCCAATCCCCTGCTTGAACATGATTGAAGCACCGATTGTCAAACAGCTCCTTTCAGTTCCCCTCTAGAAGGAGGCCTAGGGTTTGGTTGTTTAAGCAAATGTTGCTCAAACTGATCGACGAAGTATCAGGGGCAATCATGGAAAGCTGCCCGCTGCAGAGTGGCATCTTGCGCCACGCTCAAAACTGCTTGCTTTCCCAAACGGGGCAAACCAAAAAAGAGGTGCCGCTGCCACCCCCCCGCCTACTTCCCGTTTGCTATGTTTAAAAACAATACATAAATCATAAGCCCGGCCATGATCATGGGTCCCTTAGAAATCATTATCATTGTCAAAAATCTCTGAAGGTCCAGGACCATCCCAACCAACCCCAAGGTTCCTTAGTCTTTGGACCATGGCGCATGAAAACAATTACACCAGCATACAGCATAGACCCCAAATAGCCAAAAACCAGGCCGATCCTTGCACACCAGCACCTCTAACAGCACCCCCCGAAGAGCGCCACAAACAGCACCCCCATCGCCCGAAAATGCGTCCGTGCCGTCACCAGGCCCCCCCAAAATCACCCCAAACTGCGTGCCCCCCAGAACCCCTGCCATCAATTTCGCAAACACGCTCCCGCACCGTCACCAGCACCTCAAACAGCACCCCAAACAGTACTCTAAACAGCACCCCCAAACAGCACCTGCGCCAGCACACCAATCTGCACGTCCCCTGGCAACCAGCCGTCAATCTCGCACATCACGTTCCCCTCTTTATTAGAAGTTAAGTAGAACCCCTATAGCTTTCAGCTAGGGAATGAGACACCATGCAGTAACCACAAAATCACCATCCAAAAGTTGGGTTTAAGAGATGGTTCCCTCCAGTTGGCCAAAACCATTGTCTCCGGTGCCTTGGGATGGCGGTCCCACTTCACCAGCACTCCACCTCGTTTTCACGCCGAAGGTATGGCGCTGGGAAACGACTGGGCTGAAAAAAACTGCGGAGTGTGCAAATCCGGTTTCGACTGTCGCAAGGACAAAAGCTTGCCTTTAGCCAAGAGAAATGTATCCAAAGCCTTTGCAACTGTCATGAAGAACGTGGACTGCCTGATCTTGGTGTAGACGTGAGCAATCATGACATAATTAGGTGGCCCCCCCAACCCAACAGTAGACCATCAGTAATATTGCCAGTGCCTCGTGCAGCTGACGTTTTGAGGAGGTCCTAGAGCTTACTCCGACCGCAAGGGATTCTGTCCAATGTCCTTATCGAGTCGACGAGAATGCAACTGCCATTTCTCCCTATCGCTTCAATGGATAGAGAAAACCAACTGGTGCAAACTGATTCGCGCAAGAAGACAAGCTCCGAGCCTTCCTTTCGAAAAGAGGTTGGTGTAGATTTGGTGGAAAGGACCCCAAAAACAGTGGTCTCTTGGGCTGCTCTTTGAAGCCCGAAGCGGTTTCGGGCTTCCCCAAAACAGACCTCCCACAGGTCACCGCGCCTTCCATCAGCCGCGCAATACTACCAAGGTACCTCAGCACGCTTCGAGCGGCAAAAAGGGTCCACAGGGAAGCATCGGGAACGAAATTTCAAGTATCTCGAAGTCAAGTCTAATGGGTCCAACTGTGGTTGGCCAAACAATTCCAGATCTGGGACAATCAATTCACCTAGACGTGGATTCTAAAGAAGGCAACCAAACCATGGGCCATTTTGTCGCTTGCCATGAGTTGCTTAACGAGACCGCAAAGCCAACCCGCTCCGACGTCCCCATCGCACCGCATCTGGTAGAACAAGACACTTTCACCCACACAGAAGCAGGCAGGGGTCGCAAACCAAAGAGTTGCGCCAGGGGGGGAGGGTCACCCAGTAGACCGAGTTGCTTGTCCGCCCGTTGAACGTTTAACATGCCAAAACTGTGGCTAAGTGACCCAGCCAAACCGTGTCACATGTTCGTTGGTTGGAATCATCTCCCAAAAGAGTAAAACGGGTTGCATACGGTTCAGTCTGTCACCTCCCCATCTGGTGATCCTTCTGCAGCCCATAGTGCAGCTGCCAATCAGCAAAAGATGTGCCCAATGAGGCTAGACATTGAATGGGGTCTGCTTGGGTTCGCGGGGTCTTTTGCGGTCCGTCCCCTTCAAGAAGCGGTTTCAGAAGCGAGCGACGGCATGAGCCTAGGGAGACAACCAAAGGCCGCAGATCGCAGGAAACGCTCTGGAGGAACATGCAACCGATCTTGTCACATGCATATGTTTTTTTGAAAATTATTATTTACAAACCGCAAATTAGGAAACACACAAGCAAGGGACCTTCATGGGAAGAATCGCTCGTTTCCCCGCCCCCGAATTGGTGGAATCGCTCGTGAGCCTGCTTGCCCGGTGAAGCACGACTGAGCCCTCTTCCTCCCCTCCCCACGTTCAGGAGAGCGTCCCTTCGGGCACGCCGGCATCCTGGCGAGCCCAAAGGTCTGATGAGTAGGTGCCCTGATTTGGGAGTTCTATCCACGGGGTGTCTTCCACAAGGGACTCTGAGGGTTTCCCGCGCAAAAAAAAAAATCGGAAGGAATTTGACTGGCGACAAAGGGCCAGGAAGATGTTCTAGGTTTTGGCCCGCCTCATGCGGACGGACGATTGCGCGATAAGGGAGTTTTTTTCAATGGGATTTCGGAGCCCTTTTGTTTGTTGTTGAAAAGAAACCGCAAGGAAACCAACCATTTTCGGGAACCGCTAGGTTGACAAACGTCCTTCTGACTTGTCCACATGGTCATCCCTATGTCCGGTTCCCCAGTGGCACGAAGTGAAACTCTTTTGTGCACCAAACAAGAAGGGAAACATGTTTCCACCGAACAATTGGGGATGGACCATCTGATGAACAGCAAAAGCAGGCATTGCTGACCCAGTCAGAAAGCAAACAAACACCGCAGCCACCATCACATCAGCCGAATACAAGGACTAAATAGGTGCACACATCATTGCCCTACAATCATGATTAAGCACCCCACAATCCCATCTTAAAGAATTTAGCCCCTTACGTGATACACAGTCTGGTGCACGGACAAGGCCTGAACAACCACCAATATGATGCAGAAACCCTGCATGCATCATGAAATCGTGCGACTCTGCGATCCAAATTGGCATCCTGGCTTGGATGTTCAACCCACTGAACAAGACTAAAAACCATGGTGGTGAGTTCCAACCAGGAGGAGACGTCCCCTTCAACAGTGCGAAGAGAAAACGGGCTGCGTCTAAACGGTGGCAAATATCATCCAAAGAGCGAGAGGCTTTGCCTCCGTAAAGCACAAACGACATTCCGCTACAAAGGGCCGACCTTGCAGCCAACCTTTCCTTCAACTACTAATGCAAGAAAGTATCATATAGGCTGGGAGGTTTCCCGAAAAGCCTTGTGCCAAGTCAGAAATCCAGGGCGGGCAGTTGGAAATCCTGAGGGAGGAAATCAGACTAGAGGACAAGATCAACTCGAGAACAAATGGCCACGTCAGCATCGTTCTCGGCACGTTGTTGGCCAAGCTGCTGGGTCCAAGCCACCTCACGTGTCGAATTGTCTGAACCAAGTGAGGCTTTGCAAAGCATACCTGCCTGGCACACTGGTTGATTTTGAGTGGCTTGCAGACGGAAAGTTGCAGGCTGCGTACGAAGACAGCGAGGTGCACGCGGATGATAAAACCGAGCACAGACTCTCAAAAATGTCATGGGCGCCACGTGAGCCACGGAGAAGCCAAGCCTCAAAAAGTCAGAGTAAAGCTGACACAGTAGACCATCCCACGAAGGGCAATGTGCCGGAGAGAGCGGCGGTTGCACACGGCAACCAAGTCCGCCCGGATGGGTGCAGCACCACGAGAATCTGGGCCAAAGCCCTCATGCCCCTCAACATGTGCCGCGGGGCCGACGAAAGACTGCCACACAGGCAAACTTTTCGGAGGGGCACGCAACAAGGTCAGTATGGGTAAGGCCTGACAGGTGCGGAGGCTTGACTCCGAGTCCGGAAGCAGCTCATGCTTAGCAAAGTCCTGGGAGATCTTCAGCAGGTTGAACGCACCATGCCCCAGGTCCGGCATGGCCCAGTTGTACGCAGGTCTTGCCCCTTTCTTCCTGGACTTGCCCTGCTTGCATCGATATTCCAACCATTGTGCTGCGCCACCCACAAAGGAGCTCCGCTGAAAATGCTCAAAACGCACACAGCTGACAGCCGCCTGCAAAAGGAAGCTGATCACGAGCAACTTAGTACCCGAGCTGCGGCCGGCCAAGAGCACAAGGTTCACCAGCTCCCAGGGCTCCAACTCAGGTTGTTGGTGGCCACAGTGGGTAGGGTGGTGGAACTTGTGGGGCACAATCAAGAAATGGTTCACATGGAATGGGCTTGGTACATGGAGGCCGCGGCTGTGGGTCCACCAGATCCCACATCCTTGAGGAACTCGGCCAATTGTAGGGGAGTCGTGCGGACTGAGTAGCCCTTGCTCTGGGCAAAACGCGCCCACCTCTTCACAGAGGACAAGAGGGCTCCAACTTGTTCCAAACTGAGTCGGACAGTACAGGCCATAAGGCTCTCCCGGAGGGCTTCGACCCGGGCAGGGTCATTCAAAGCTTCCCATGTGACTCCCAGCTCCGCGAGATCCACCAGGTTGTAGACCACAAACTGAAAGAGGGCCTGGGTTTTCATCTGCTTCCTGGCCTTCTCCTTGGTGTACGGGTCCGCAGCGGCTGCCTCAATCAAATTGGGCACCCGCTCAGAAAGGCCCGTCTCAATGACTGGGCGGCTTTTCTGGGAGCCCTGAAATGCTGGGGCAGCCTGGAGGCTGAGAGCAGGACGCCCGACGATTACTGACTCTCGTTCATCCACCAATCTCCGGACTGCGAAGGCCTTTTGCAGGGTTGCCTGGCCAGAGGCCAGGCTGTAGACCATCATTACCTGGAAGGCCCCCTCTGCACTCACGGCGCCGTACCTGGCCTCATAGGCAGCCACCATAGCGCCACCATTGGCCCAGCTATAGCGCACATCCGAGCAGCTCTGCACACCGCAGTCCTCGAAGAACTTGGTGAGGGCCCCAGGCTTATCGGCCAAGAGTGCCAGAAGCTCACCGTCCATGCCCTCGCCTGGCTGGCGCGGCCTCACTTCGTCCCAACGCCCCGAGAGGAACTCCCGGAGTTCGGCCTCGGTGCTGCCAGTCTGCTCCGCGAGCTCCGCGATGGTGAAGGGGATCGGCGGTCCATCCGGCGTCGGGGAGATCTCGACAACCTCCTCGGTGTCGGCTCCATACTGCCTGCACGCTTCAGGCGCAGGCTCAGCAGGTAGTGGCCGACAAGAGACAGCCAGATAGAAAGCTGCCCTGGCCTGAACAGAACCCAGTCTGCTATCCCGGCTCAGGTCCACAGCTCTCTCCTCCGGGTGGGCCCTCTGCCGACGTCTGGCCAGCACACGCCAATGCGCAAGAGGAGTCGGCGCAATGGGCGGCATGAACCAGGATAAAAACAAAGCAAGTCGCAGACTTGAGCCGGCAGTGGCATCCAGTCTGCTCTGAAAGCCAAGTATGTTTCAAACCACAGTGAGGCCCTACCCAACCAACCTACTACACTGTGAGGTAAATCACGAAGCGCCCCAATAAGCACCACAAGTGACGCAAACTCCGAAGAGCAAATACTGAACGGCCTGGGGAGAATAAGTGTGACATTCCTGGTGGACGGCAAGTCGATATGGCGAACCGGACCTTCCCCTGGCGTCCCTACGCTTAAGCTACCCGGGCGGTTTGAATTACCGAGGCCAAGAGTAATTTTGCGAACCCCTCAACCACCACCAATTGCCTGTTGTGATGTTAAGGCCTGCTGACTAGTTCTGCATTTAAAGGGTTCCCTGCAATCGCAGAATTTAAAAAACCTACTCCAAATACCCACTTATTTGGCTGGTATATTTTGTACCTCCTTTTTCGCCAGGGGTCATTCCCACCACCCTGACAAAACACTCTAAACAACCTACCTGAACAACCCCAGAGCCCGAACACAAACCTTCCGCAATCCATTTGTTATACCCTCTAGACCCTAAACCCTAAACCCTACACCCAAACCCCCCCACAAACCTGCAAACCCAGCCCGGGTCCGGTTTTCGGCCCGGCCCTGCGCTCGGCCGACCACCCCACTCCTTGGAAGGCCCGGCGCACACCCGGTCCCCACGCCGAAGGTGCAGGCGACCACAGAGGCACCGGCCTCGTGGTGTCGTCGTTTTGGGGGGGAGCAACCCGCAGAAGGGAAACCGCTCTCGGGCCCACATTGTTTTTTTACCCGGTTGCTTTCTGCTCACCTGCAGGTACCATGTGGTCACTTTGTGGTGCTCCAAATTCCCAGACCGACCTTTGGGAGTTCGAAGGAAAGCCATGCTGAAGTGACCGGTTCCTCATGTTGAGAACATGTTGGGCGGAACCAATGGGTGGTTTGCGTGCCTTCCCTTGTTTCCCTTCAGCCCAAAAGAAGCTGCACAATCAATAGATTGTGCGGTGTCGCCATTGTTTTTTTTTTTTTTTTTTTTCTGAGATGCCCGACTCTCACCAAGATGGTGTTTACATGCCAATGTGCAGCTTCAAAAGGGGGCTATGTTTTGCCAAGGTGGTCGCCTTCATGCTGCGAAGAAGATGCTTACAAAGATTGTCGCTTCGTGCTTATCAGGATTTGGGTATGGACCCCCCGGGTTGTTGCCTTTTGGCTGCCTATAAACCAACCCCGGAATGGATCCTCCCCACCCACACACACACACACAAACAGACAAACAAACAAACAAACAAACAAACAAACAAACAAAGAAACAAACACACAAACAAACAAGCAAACACAAAATACACTTCTGCATTTTTATCGCTGCACCTGGCCCATAGATCTGCCAAGTTGCATCCCTCTGGCGGCGGCTCCTCGCGCAGCCCGAGGGTGGGGGGCCAGGCTCAAAGCACCAACTTTTTGGGGCTGAGGAAAATGAACAAAATACAAATGAAATCACAAAGATGCGGCCTACGCGGTGCGGACGTGCCAGCCGCACGCGGTGCTCTACACGGGAGTGCCATGTTGGAATAACTAAGACCAATAATCTGCCCGTCGCAACCTTACGCATGTGGCGCGAAGTGAAGTTCACACTGGCTCCTTCGGTCACCCTTTCTGCTGGATGACCTAGTTCCAATTTCACAGTGGCCCTAAGCTTCCATGGAATCGCCGGGAGGATACCACGTCACTTTGCCATCCCGCGCCTTGGCAGGAATCTCCTCCAGAGACTTCGGCAGGAAGTCTGGCAGCGATTCCACGCATGTGATGTGGCATCCACCAGTCTCCCGGCCCTACATTCAGAAGGGGGAATGGGGTTGGGATGGCAAGCTTGAACGCTTGGAATGATCATGGACCCATTTAACAGGGGGACCCATTAAACAGGGGGACCATGACACGTCTGGGTATTGAGTGGATTGGATTCTTGAACATCAGAAATGCAGGAACCCGTTTGGAAGGGTCTCTTGAGAAAGCTTCGTGCAACACCTTTCAGAAGAAGGCCTTCTTGGGCATGGGATGTTGAACTCGTTTTCGAGAGCTACAGGCACAAAAATAATTTAAGAACACCGAAAGGGGGATGAAGGAACCAGGAAGACAAGGATGGAAAAAGGGATTGATCAACAGCCCAAATCCGAATACGCAGTGCCAGAGCCTCTTATCAGTGATGAATCAGGCCAAGGTCTAAGCATCAACCCCTAGACCACTCCATTGGTCATATGCCGTAACATGCGAATTCGGGCTACCACAGGAAAGCCATTGCAGCAAAACAAACTACTCCTAGCGAACATTGGGGAACTTCCTTGATGGACTATCAAGGGTCGCTGCTTCTTATCCCTTGGCAGTCTGCTCTCAATGAGTTTTGGAGAAGAGGGCTTCCTCTGCTCCAAACCACTTCCCCTAAGTTTATAAATATATGTATATACACATGTTGTACATAGATGCGTGTACGTATGTATATATATATATAGAGTGTATGTATGGACACATACTGTGTATATGGAGATAAATAATATATATATATATATCATATAAAGATTATGTATGTATATACATCGTATAAATATATAATACATATATGTATATACGTACGTTGTATAACAGCGAAGGGTTGGGGCATTCGGAACCGCCCATCGAACAGGCAACCCGGCAACTCCATCCGGAGCGAGCACCTTGCGCCACTTGCAGCAGCTCCGCTAAGACGTCCGGCTCCAAGACATCTGAAGCCGGACTCAGCAAGCGATCCACCTGAGACATGTTCAGACAACCAGGGTGACTTGAAGACTACATCCAAGAATTTCCCATTGGATAAAGGAAATCTTGGGTGCGTCTGGTTTTGGGCTTTCGAAGATGGTTAACGAGCTTGTTTAAGTCCCATGAAGCCAGGCCCTTCCTAAAACGGCAAGTAAAGAATGGGCATGATTCCTTTTTTGCAGTTAGCACCATGAGTTATGAGGATTGGTGTTGAACGGAAACCAAGAGAAACCGGACGAACCCATCCCGGAATCCCCCCGCGAAGCTGAACACATCACTCTTAAACTATTCATATCCCTGGCTTTTCTTCAACTGTCATCCAGTTTCTTCCGCAGATCGAATCGATAATACAAGCGCCCTAAAAATATGACTAAAGTTGGTTTTGATGTACCTCAAAACCCCATTCTGATTAATTAGGCCCATTCTGTTAGTTGCTCGGTAGCCAAACGGCGTGCGCTGCCCGGACCGACAATCGTATCTGCCAAGTTCCACGGGAGGTTGGCAACATGAATACCGTTATAACATGGTCCATTAATAGCTCCCTTTTGAGCATGCCCAGAAAGGGGGGTCCAACTCGTTTTGGCGCGGTCTCAAAGGAATGCGCTTGGTGTGAAGCCAGCTACGGGAGAGTCCAGAGGAAGTCTGCCAGATGGCCACTGGACGCACTTGCAGTCGCCGGCTTGTGAGAAAAACGGAAAGCACGCCACTCCCCCATCTCCGACCTCCTCATGGGGAAGCTCGAGACAGGCTCGAAGGCCTGACAGTTCCAGTCAGTCCCTCTTTGAATAGCGCAGGGTTGTGCATGGAAGATGGGTGGCGAATTGGAAGCATCATTGAAGGCCCTGTTTGAAAACACATGTGCAAACACGACAATGTATGTATGTCGTCTAATGCGATGTGTTGTAATGTGTTGTGATGTGATGTGATGTGATGGGATGTGATGGGATGTGATATGATGTGATGCTGTGTCATTTAGCGAGAGCATGCAACGTAATGTAACGTAACGTAACGAAATGTAATGCAATGTAATAACCCAATGCAATGTAATGCAATCTTAGTCATGCAATGTAAATATACATGTAAATGTAGTTGTCAATGTAATGCACGGGTATTGCACGGTACATACTGTACCGCGGTACGGTACGGTACGGTACGGTACGGTACGGTACGGTACGGTACGGTACGGTACGGTACGGTACGGTACGGTACGGTACGGTACGGTATGGTATGGTATGTACAAGTAAATATTCACATTTAGCTTTTCTGCTTAACTGAAATTGTACCTTGCGCCAATGGCCGAGCTGCTCCGCCAATTACGACCCCATCGGGTTGGACTTTGGTCCCTGGCAACCAAGTCTCCAGGATTTGATCTAGGGTGTCGCAACCCTGACCCTCCTACGCTTCTCTGAAGTCTTCTACGTACTTTACCATTGATGAGTTTTGACCAAACTGGTTCTAAGTGGAGACTATGGTCTTGGGGTGATTCCAGAGTCAAATTGTGGCTCGTCCCCACGGGTCGCTGATCTGGTGTCTAAATAAGGGGTTTGCAATCCCAAGTTTAGTGTCCATTGCAGAAGATGCGCAAAGGAACCTGTTCACCCCAGTTGGTTTCCTTCCATTCAAATGGTCCACGTTCAAGCCTAAACCAAGGATTTCCTTGTCCATCCTTTTCTTCAAGCGCCAAGATATGGCCATGGGTCAAATCCCATACCCCCAGTGAACATCAGAATCCCCACTAAAATAGGTTCCAAAATGGGTGGTGAATTCTCCTACCCCAAAATGGGATCCCATTGGTTTTGACCCACAGCCACATAAGACGGTCCCAAACATTGACCCAGATTCCTACGGTGCCCGCCTGCCGCCACGTCCCTGCGCAGCCCCTGCGGTGCCACCAGGCGCACCCAGGCATCGCCCAGGTTGGGCACCGGCGCGCGCAGCGTGAAGCGGGTGCGGCACTGCGGGCAATGGGCGCCTACGAATGGAGGACGAGACTTTGCTCTGAGAGTACCGTTCTTGAGTCGTTTTCAAAAGGAAACTGGCCATTTTGAGGGGACCTTTCCATTTGTTTTCTCCCGAAAGAATGCTGGATCTTCTGGTCAACAAGCTCGCACTTTGGCTAAAATGAAGAAACTTGCCAAGCAAGTTGGTTTGCTCCATGGACCTGAGGGTGGAAAATTATCTTCGAAAGGCGATTATACATCTTCGAGAACCGCAAACCATTTTGCGATCTGATGCCATTGTATACTTCTGGGACGTGAACGGGGTCCGTGTGATACATGTTGCAATACCAATACGCTAAACCTGGCATTGGGAAAAAATTGCATTGGGCACGCAAAACGTGAAAACAGCCAGCCAAGGGAGGTGGTTTCTAGGCACCTATGAAACCCAAACATTGGTTGGTCTGACTGCCGATCAGCGTTTAAAAAAAAAGCGGACCCCAGGCCCTTCAGAAGTGTGTTTGAACCACCCAAAAAAAAACGGAGTTCAAATGGCCCGAGCCGATCCAAGTGGCTTCCTCCGTAGGTTTTCTTCCCACAACCCGTTCCGTACTGGAACCTGTTGGGGGTCTCCAATGGGAACCCCGCAATCAGTTGCTCTGTGCTTTCCCTTGACCCGAAAAAACAGCAACTCAAAGACGCCCGGCTTGACCAAAACCTGACAAATAGGAGTCTGCCCAAACTGCGTGAAGCAAAGGACACGGTTTTTACAGGGAGACGGTCCCCAATTCGAACGCACCCAGCCAAACGAAAGCAGCTCACTTGAGGCCTGGCAACCTTGTAAAGGGCTTCTCTCACTACGCTCTTAAGAGATTCCCAGAGCCATGCGATTGCATTCCGGCTGATGATTGGGTCATTAGCTTCCTTATCTTTTTCGGGGTCTCAACATCAATCGCTTTCGGGTTGGATGTCCATCAAGCCTATATACCAAAATCAGATGGTGAAATGAATTAGGAACCCGCCAGCATCTGGAAGCCAACTTTCCAAGAGTAAACCTGAGCAGATCCTTTCTGACACAAAGAGCCCCACATGTTTTGGCCAGACAATGCTACCCTGGCGATTTGGAGCCAACAAAGCTAGAGCGCCCCCTTAGTGGGGGGTGGTCTCCAAATGGAAGAACGAAAAGGAACTGCTTGCTTTCCTTTTGGTTTAATTTGAAACCAACCAGAAGGGGGCTCGCCAAAAGAGACAACACTCGAAATGAGGACTGTTTGAAAATAGGGAGGGTTTTCCGCAAAAGTGAACGGTTCGCACAAAACCGGGTGACTCCCCCATTCATCAATCAGGAGTTGGAGTCTGAGTTGCCAGCGGGATACAAGGCATGGTCAACTTTGATTGAGACTGGAGACAATCATGGATTATTTGGAATGCTCTTGACGGAGCCCAAAGTGTTGACAGTTTAGCATTTGATTTACATGTCATTGTTTTGTTTCAAAACCAGTTGGACCCCTGCACGTGGCTGGTGGCTTCTATTTCCCGTCCATCGGGGGGCGTTCATCCGGGGTCGACCTGACCATTCACTCCAGGAGGGAATGGGTGTATGTGCGTGTGGTTTCTTCGGGGTAACCAACTTGGGGTTGGTTGAATTTGAAACCAAAAGCACACCAAACATATCAGTGTCCCCTTCACAGCGAAAAATACTTTTGTTTAATGATTTATGTATTTATTTATTTATTCATTTATTTAAAAAAGTAAAAGAAGAAACACAACTCTTTCCGTTATACCAAAATCGGCAATCCCCATGACTGCATTATCACTGGTCCCCTTCATGGTGGAAAATTTGTCCAAAAGGCCGTGACTACCTCACTTTGCTCTAGGGGTTGATTCCCCATTCTTTTCAACCATCGTTCTTTCCAAAGACTGCCCGTTTTCCCAGGGTTTCCGGAGGTTTTCTAGAATCTGGATCCCTGGAAAGAATGGACATGGAAGGTAGCCCTAGATTTGCAGGGAATTCCTGTCTCACAGTGAGTCATCTTTTGACCCGTCGCCTTCCACCCGCTCCAGGCAGCTGAGGTGGAAGAAGTGCCCGCAGCTGCGCCGGCCGCAGGAGTCCACGCACACACCCAGCGGCTGGCAGCACAGCACGTCCAGGCCTCGTGAAAACTCGGAGGGGTATATATATATATATATATGTATACATATATGTGTATATGTATATGTATATATATATATATGTATATATAGCTATATATATATATATGTATGTGATATACATACATGTACAAAGGTGTCCTTTAGGTAAAATACAGGCCCCTGGAAAATGGAATAAAACCCATCTGAAGCAGTGCCTTCTATTTCTACCCACACTAACGTGAACAGGAGAGCTATGAGGACTCCTATGAAACTGCTACAACCACCCGAACCCACGTGGCCTTGTCTCAAAATAGGGGGTCCCTTTAAAGCACCCCAAGAGACATTCAGACCTCCAGTTTTGGTGTAAGTTGGTATCGTGTATTGCGAAAAGGGTGAGAGGGCAGGTAATCACAAGAAGCAACAAACGTTTACACAAACATATTGGAATCCGTGGGAAATTGAACAATCAAGCTTTCAAGAACAGGAAAGGACACGGAAACAGTGGGTAATTGAGTTGCACCATTCCAAAAGAGGGGTCGAGACGGGAAAGAAACAACAACGGGGCATCTAAAAGGAAGGTCCTTTGCAACCCCAGAAGCCATACAGGGGGAAAAGAGAGCTCCTCGACCCTCGACCGAGAGCCGAGCTCGGTTTGTTGGCGGCCTTCCCGCGGCGCAGAGTTCGGAAGGGGAACCGAATTGGCGAAAAACACACCGCAGCGGGCCGAAGCAACGGAGAATCTTTCACAAAGGGCCGTGGCAGAAAAAAAAACTGCTCGCGCTTTTTGTTTTTGCAATCCTCAGGCCCTTCGCCGGATGCCGGCAAAGTCTAAGCGCAGACTGAAAGAGATGAAAGAGCTCATACTTTTCGGCCTGAGTTGAAGCGTTGCCAAACTTTCCACAGCCCAGACTCCTGATCAACTTCACTTTGTGCAGGACAGCAAACATGATAGCTGTTTTTCCGCAAGGTAGCCAATGTCGCGGCTTTTTGGAGGCAAAACGTCACATGGCACTGATGAAACCCGGAACCCACCAAGAAAGGCTTTGGTTCCCCTTCACTCTAACAACCCAAAAAAGGTTCCACTAGAGTCACTAGAAAAGGAGTACCAACTTGCACCTGGCCCTCTTTCCTTTTGATCGCCTGCCGCCTTTCTTGCGGGGCGTGGGGCGGGGGGGAGGAAGGGGTGCCGCATCGGACCGGAACCCTCAAGACGGATACCTGAAAGGTCCAAAAAGGCGCCAGTGCTTCGCGGCTGACCAAACCTCTCCTAATGCTGAAGGCCCCGGAGCCACCCGGAGGGGAGCCTGGGCCCATGAAAATCTCCCCCGCTGGGAAATCTTGGCAGGGCCCCCTGGATCTGCAGCTCTTCAGCTCCGCGCTCTGTCCAAATAATTCCGTGGGGTTCCTTGTAAACCAAATGGCTTCGAGACATGGACACAACTATGTTGCATGCCGCTGCTTTCATTCCAAAGCGACTCAATGCCCTTGCAGGGTGCACTCAAAGCTTTCCTTGATGTTTCCACGCAGTCTATTTCGTGAATGCTTGGATGGGAGGCTAGCGGCTGAACTCCGCCCCGCCCCCCCCCCAACGTTTCCCGACTCGTTTCCGAGCCACAAATGGGGCACGTCTCCATCTCCGTGGGCTCGGACTGACCCAGCCTAAGGCGGGAGAGGCTCGTGGACAAACATCCTGGGTCTAAAACAGGAATCGCCCGCAAATGTGTGTGGCGTCCTGGTTTCCCTTTAAATATCGACCAGAAGTGGTTCACGTCCCCAACATCGAAGCTCCAAAACCCTCATAGAAAGGACCTTCTTTGCGGGGGGGGTGACCTTCAAGTACCCAGGTGTTGATGGCTGCACTGGTCCCTACCAAAGAACCAGGTCCAGAGATGTCCTGTTGGCAAAGCATAGATGGCACTGGCAAGTGAGTAGAACCAAACCGTCAGCAGCGCAATAGAAAGGATACCCATGCTCCTATGGCTTACTGGCAAGCCAAACTTGCCCATGATCCCAAGGAGCCCGGGGTGAAAAGGGTGAAAACGCTCCAGAGCTCTCCCTTCACCACTCCGGATATTTTAAAAGACCCCAAAGCTTTTAGCGGGGGGGAAGAAACCATCGGGATCCATGGCTGGAAAATTATCCTGTGTGAAGAGGTTGCTGATCCCAGGGGTTGCGGCCAATTCGCGCGTGGCTCCACCCCCTCACTGGAATTTATACGTCCATATAATTATGGCTTTGTGGGACATCAGCCCCCAAAGGTCTACAAAGATCCGGAAATGGTTATGGGTTTATTTATGTTTCAGTTGGGCTTGCGTTCGGTTTCCCTTCAACCCGACCCAGAACACCTCCCCAAAAACGCACTTGATCTTGGCCCACAAACAAAGCAGGGGGGTACACTGAACAGATAGATGCTCAGATTCTGTTTCATGTTTAGTCTACCCACCATTCTAGGAGTTGATTCCCCATTCTTTCAACCATCGTTCCTTTCGAAAACCAGCTGTTTCCCTGGGCATTGATGGGTTTTTGATGGGTTTTTGATGGGTTTTTGCTGGTTTCCCTGGAAATGGACATGGAAGGTACTAGAAACATATGGAGCAGAGCCCATGGAGACCCCCACGGCCCCATCTGCCCGGGGACCCCGGGGCCCCGGCGGGCGCAGCCGCCGCGCCGCCGCGGCCCCGGAGCCCACGGCGCCGGAGCCGTTGGATCCGCCCGCCTCGCAAGCGGGGGTCGGGCGAAACAGGACGGTCGGGTCCCCGTGATTCCCCTTTAAAAAAAGAAGGAACAAAAACTCCCCCCCCAAATATGTATATATATATATATGCTCACCCTCTGGGGGGGGGGCCTACCTTTCCACTTCAAAATGTACAAAACCCTCTTATTTTTAAAGACAGGGGGTGTGAGCATATATACGCAAGAAGTGTGCTGTTGCTGCATATTTTTTGTGGGTGACAAGTCATGTTGAGTAACAACTGCAAAGAGTTTATAAACTTACAAGACAGTTTATAAACCATGTCAAGGGTTTGACGGTTTCCCTGCAACAAGGGCAGGGGGGGGGGGTCAGAACTCTTTACGGGGGGGGGGGGGGTACTGAGAAGTCTTTACAAAGTTGGCTGAGTCACACCTCACTGCTAAGACTTCCAACCAACCCCCCCCCCCCCCCCTCCCCCCCCAAAACTTCCAACCACCCCCCCCCCCCTCCTCCTTCAACGATACCATGAACACTTCGTAGGGTGTTGTTGCCTTGACGCGGGAAACTCGTCAAACACTCAATAAGGTTTATAAACTTTCCTGAAAGTTTATAAACCTTCTGTAGGCTTATTGCGTAGCAAGTGGAGACTGTTGTTTGGGAAAAAAGGACACTCATTTGAGGCCTTGTTTGATGTGGTTTGGGCATGTGGTCCTAAAAGGTTGATGATTGTGTGTGGGTGTGTCATCACTGCTGCACTGTTATATCAAAGGCTGTCCATTCGGTCCAAGGGAACACAATCTGAGCAACTGCTGCAAAACACTCTGTTTTACAGCATTTTGTTGGATCTCTAATCCCTTGAAATGTCCAATTTGAAACACCTGAAACCTAGAATCTGGAGATCAGAATCCTTGAGATGTCTAATGTTGGATTCTCCAAGCCTCATAATTTGGAGCCTGGAGTACTCCAACACGAATTGAATTCGAATGTTGAAGGGGGCAAAATGTTGTTTGGGAAATGAACAATCTTCGGTCCAAGGGAACACAATCTGAGCAATTTCTTCAAAACACTTTGTTTTACAGTTTTTTGTTGGACCTGCAATCCCTTGAAATGTCCATGGTGAAGCACCTGAAACCTAGAATCGGGAGATTAGAATCCTCGAGATGTCTAATGTTGGATTCTCCAAGCCTCATAATTTGGAGCCTGGAGTCCAACATATCCAAGTACACATTCCTTTCCAAATACGATTTTGATCCGAATTGAATTTGCATATTGAATAGAATTTAGTAAGCACATAGTTCACCACCATTCATAATTCACCATAATGTCTATAAGATCACAGGAATACCTTTCCAAATAAGGAAAATATGATTGCAGTAGAATCCAAATATACTTTAATGCAGACAGAATTCAATTAGCTTTTGAACATAATAATTTGATCAAGAATCCATCCCCAAATACAGCTTGAATTGGAATATAGCTTATTCTGGAAAGAAATCACTTGGCCTTTGCAATCAAATTTTAATAGTAACTCATTCCCAAATATGATTTAGCTTAAATGTGGCTAAACAAATAAAGGGCACATATCCCCAAACTTGGTCTGGAGATGTGTTTGGCATGTGCAGGTCTCAGAGCTTTCATTTTCAGGAGATTTTGTGCTTTTGGGTCTGTGCAGGTTGCAGAGCTCAAAGCTGCCAAAAACATCATATTTTCAATGTTTTTTCCCTGGTGTACTCAAAACCACTGTAAAAACCAGTGATTCAATCAAAGCCAGGCTCGAATCTGAAAACGGAATCCGTTTTCGCTTTGCTGCCTTTCAAGCCTCAAATAATCAGATATTTGCTGTCACATAGAAGGCAACAACGCAACAAAAACACTGTATTTTACAGTGTTTTCAGGCATCTGCAAGAAAGAGGCACACAGAGTAGAGTTGACACCTTCAACTAGAAGAGGGCAAAGGTAGGCCCTGGGGGGGGGGGGGGGGTGACCATATATATATATATACAGAGGATATAGATAGATAGATAGATAGATAGATAGATAGATAGATAGATAGATAGATAGATAGATAGATAGATAGATAGATAGATAGATAGATAGATAGATAGAGATGGATAGATAGATAGATAGATAGATAGATAGATAGATAGATAGATAGATAGATAGATAGATAGATAGATAGATAGATAGATAGATAGATAGATAGATAGATAGATAGATAGATAGATAGATAGATAGATAGATAGATAGATAGATAGATAGATAGATAGATAGATACAGAGATTAGATAGATAGATAGATAGATAGATAGATAGATAGATAGATAGATAGATAGATAGATAGATAGATAGATAGATAGATAGATAGATAGATAGATAGATAGATAGATAGATAGATAGATAGATAGATAGATAGATAGATAGATAGATAGATAGATAGATAGATAGATAGATAGATAGATAGATAGATAGATAGATAGATAGATAGATAGATAGATAGATAGATAGATAGATAGATAGATAGATAGATAGATAGATAGATAGATAGATAGATAGATAGATAGATAGATAGATAGATAGATAGATAGATAGATAGATAGATAGATAGATAGATAGATAGATAGATAGATAGATAGATAGATAGATAGATAGATAGATAGATAGATAGATAGATAGATAGATACAGATAGATAGATAGATAGATAGATAGATAGATAGATAGATAGATAGATAGATAGATAGATAGATAGATAGATAGATAGATAGATAGATAGATAGATAGATAGATAGATAGATAGATAGATAGATAGATAGATAGATAGATAGATAGATAGATAGATAGATAGATAGATAGATAGATAGATAGATAGATAGATAGATAGATAGATAGATAGATAGATAGATAGATAGATAGATAGATAGATAGATAGATAGATAGATAGATAGATAGATAGATAGATAGATAGATAGATAGATAGATAGATAGATAGATAGATAGATACATAGATAGATAGATAGATAGATAGATAGATAGATAGATATAGATAGATAGATAGATAGATAGATAGATAGATAGATAGATAGATAGATAGATAGATAGATAGATAGATAGATAGATAGATAGATAGATAGATACATAGATAGATAGATAGATAGATAGATAGATAGATACAACAATCATAATAATGATAAGAATAATGATAACAAAAGGAAACTCAGCGAAAAAAGAAAGGCTCAAAAGGTGAGGTTGAAAACCACAAGGGACAAGGGGGATTTTTTGGGGGGAAAACCCGCATGTCTCCGGGTCCGTGTGGATAGGCAAAATCACGCCGATCGGCACAGGTTGGTAGTATTCAACTTCAGCTTCCTCCATTCCAAGTGCAGAAGTGGATTTTGCCCACAAGTGACATCAGCCTGCCATGGGGGTTCAAACATAAACCACTCCCTCAAAATCGGCCCGAGGTTTGGAAAGATGCCCTAACACAGTTTCCGCATAAGGTGTGCGTGACCATCATCGCACACCTCACATGGTGGTGCACAGACCAGCAACCCAAAGGTGATTTCATCGTCAATAACTGTCACATTGGACCCAGCCCAAGGGAAGCAAGGAGTCGTCGCTCTCGGGAATTTGTTTCGGGTGCGGTTTGGACAAGGTGCAGAGATAGGGGCAAAACGAAGAAAGCCCTTGGAAAAGCCTGCGATTCATCGACTCCTGGAGCCCTGGACAAATCTGGATACAGGCTCATGGGGCAAGGGAGTGGTGCGCCCATGCCATTCCGAATCTCAAGCGGAAAATAGCGCCTAGGACCCAACAGGGCCTAGTAGAGTCGATTCAGGGATGCTTTCTGGGGGTGTTCCAACATGGAGGGCCTCTCACAACCGTGAGAGATTTGAAAGGAATCAATATGAAAACCGGTCGGAGAAGAGCCTATGTTTAACACACAATACGGAACTGCAGTCAAGTTTCGGGCAGACTCTTGTAGATTCACATGGAACCCAACAAACCATCTTAATTTCCAGGGGCGTCCAAGAAAAGGAAGCAATCCCGAAGCCTCTTTGTATGACACACGGCCTTCTCATCGGGCTCCGGGTGAAGAGTCTCATCTGACCTCAGGTTGGGAAGCCCCGATATTCTCTATGTTCAAGTGCCCCCGCTATTGTGGAGACCCATCAGGATCCTGGAGACCATAGGCCTATTTGGGGTGTCATTAGGGCCCATTTTGGGGGCATTTTCGCCGGAAGGCATCATCTTGAAGAGGTACTGACGAGTATATCAAGCGTCCAGGGTCGTACCCTGAAGATCGTACCCCTCGGAACCTTGGAGAAATTTGGCTTGTGGAAGGGTTAAACGGGAGGTATACAGCGCAAGTTTGGGGGAACAAACGTAAGGACAAAGTGATAATTCTAATCTATATGAATGTAAACACCAGACTACTTGTAGTGTTCAACTTGTATGAAAGAGATCAAAGAGGCTTTCGCACTTTGAAACCAAAGGGAAATGGTTGGCACCACGGTTGATTACTTCCAGCACATTTACACGATTGCAGTTTTTCTCAAAGCCACCACCATGGCGTTCCTGCTTTGAGACAGGCCCGTGACATCGTTTGAAGCGGGGATGCCATACCCTACCCTAGCGTTTGGCGCTACTAAGATGGCAAGAGCCAAAACGAAGCACTCACCACAATCTAGGCAATGAATATTTATATATATATATATACATATGCAACAAACATGGGAGTGCAGTGTGGACCCCTTTTGGAAGACAACTTTCCGTTCCATTTCAAATTGGGACTTCCTTGCCAAGACCTTGAAATAAACGCTTAAGGTCGAATCGCTTCGGGCCGGTGAGTACCCCACCCCCCACCTTCAAGACCCCGCTTGGACAACTAAGAGGTTTCAGCACGAGGCCCCCACAGCTTGCCGCACGCCTCCGTCGCCTGGCTACACTGTAACTTAGCAGTCCGAACTGCGAAAACCAACCAGAAATCCAAATGACGTGCTGAGGGTTTCTATCAACGCGATCCACTCTAAAACACTGCGCCGCCAGCAGTGCAAAAGTACCGCGCCTACCCACGAAACTCAGCCTCCGCCACATATCAGTTCATCTAGGCTGCTGCGTTGCAAGCGCCTTTACGCGCCCGGGCGCTCAGGTTTGCCTCTGTTTGCAAGCTTCGGACAGTTCAATGCAAGCCAGGCGCCCCAGGTGTTCAGGCTTGCCGCTCTTTGCGCAAGCTTCTGGACGCTACTAACAACAACGGCACTTGGCGTGCAAACAGACCCCGTAAAAATCACAATATGTTTCACTTCTCAGGCAAGAATCGCTGCGTATACACGCGCATCTGGAAATGCTAAATTCTGAGTATCCATAGGTAGACTAGCAGACTTGTAAACAGGACAAACTCTGCATCTATTTCGGAGCCAGAGCGCCAGCCACCCAATGCATTCCGGGAACGTTCCTCGGAACCGCCCCACACGTCCCCAGAACTCAAAACTGCCCCATCCCCTTAACCTGCTCGAAATGCCCCGTGCACCCCGCAAACCCCTGATGGAACCGCCCTATGCATCGCTCCCAGATCCCTCCCAGATCCGCCGACCTCGGAACCGCCCCGCGCATCCCCTCAGAACCCCACACATGCAGCCTCCAGAACCCTTCTCGACCTGAAAGCCGTCCGGCCCCAGAGATTTCAGCTGCTCGTCATCAAACTACAAACAATTCTGCCTCCCACACGCGTCTGCTCGCCTTGAATTGTCTCAAATTTCAAGCCCTTAGTCACCTGAAAGCGTTTTCTTGACTCACGTGCTGGTGATGGGGAGAATTCGTTTTGTCAAGAACTTCGATGTAGCCGAATGACTCTGAAAATGAGTTTGGAAGCCGCGACATCTGCTTGTGCAACGAAAAAATACACACCACTCTGCCTCCTACCTTGCCGCGCATGTGCTCACCTTGAATCATTTCCAGTTTCAAACCTTGAAGAGGAAAGGGCACACGTACCACGCAGTGATTGCTGGACGTTCCCTTTTCGTAGATTAAATCCTTTTATATATGCGGGGGCTGCGGCGCACAGTTGCGTAAAAACATTGGGGAATTCGTAAAAACATTGGGGCATTCGATTCACCCGCGGGGGTCCCTAAGATCTTTCCCCCCCTTTCCTCCCCAAGATCTTTCCCCCCCTTTCCTCCCCAAGATCTTTCCCGCTGCCGCATCCTTAGTATCCCGTTCAACATCGCCAGCATCACCTGCATAAGTGTATGCCAATGATGAGGATGATGCAGGTAATGCTGGGGATGTTTCCCATGAGAAAAAAAAAATACATGTTAGGGGGAACAGATCGTTGTGGGGGAAAGGGGAAAAATCTCAGGAAGGCGGGAAAAGATCTTAAACATATGTATACATATCTATATATATATATGTCTAAAAGCGTGTGTGATGATGTGTATACATATCTATATATATATATATATATTTGTGTTTATATGTTTTCATATATGCATATATCTATCTATATACAATTGTGTACATGTCTATATATAGTTTGATATTTGTATATATTCATAAGCACATATTCAGTCCTGATTCTGTGCCTTTATTCATTGCCTGACATTTAAAGAGTCGAGTGACCCATTTGTTCACAAAACAACAACATTCGAATACCTGGCATGAAGCTTTGTTTCTGGGTTTCGTACTAGTCTTGGCTATGTTTTCAAATGACCCCTTTCATGGGCCTATTCTTGATGATTCTCCCGCGTATAGTTTCGCGGACTCATCTTCCACGAATGGCCGAAATAAGACTATGAGTGAATTCTGATGCTCTTGGGAGGGCTCGCCTCTCAACTTCATCTCTGAATACCCCTAACAGCAAAATGTGTGTCAAAGGAAAAGGGCCCAAAAGTGAGAAACACCCGAATCTCCTTGTGGCAAATCCTGCTTTTGGCTCCTTTGTCCATTTCTAGGGGCGTACTTGTGTTTTGGGCTTCTCATTTTTCCGGCTCCCTTCGAGGCTACACCGGAAAGAAACGGCAAAGGTGGCTTACAACATGGCCAAAGTCCTTCCTGAAAGGAAGCCTGCTTCCTTTAAGGAAGCCTGCTTTTGCGGGTCCCAAAAAAAACCAGCCAATCCCCGCCCGAAGCTGCGGACCCAGATCTCTCGCCTTGGGCGTTCGAAGCTTGGGCGCCATAGTCTCCGTGCATTGACCAAGGCCGCGCCAATCCGGCAGAGTTTCGTGTCCCAAGCAACTCGTCTTACAAAGGACCCAACATGGTGTTGGTTGCTTGAGTCTCTATTTGTTTGTTTCCAAAACAAGACACACCCTGGCCCCATGATGTTTGCGAGTTTCAAAGTCAGTTCCAAAGTAGGTGCAAGCGCTAAAGAGCAACAACCCTATTTTCTCTAGAAACAGTAAGAACCACGGAGCCAAAACGATAGAACAAAATGCTGCCCATGTTGTTTCTCTCTCTCTCTCGCTCTCTTACCGCTGTTCAGCATCTTTCGGATCCGCCATACTTTTCTATGTTCCTTGGAGCTGAGGCCGACCTTGACCAGCATCCGGGTATTGGGCACCCCGCTGTTGGGCTGGCTTTGCGGCACAATAAAAACAGTCATTTTGGAATTGCAGGAACCCATTAGTGTGCCACAAACGCATTTCTTCGCATTGAGGCGCGTTTGGTACCGCGCTCGATCTCACAGCTGCAGAGAGGCCGGAGGACGATGCCACCCTCATAGAAACCAGCTTACAAAATGTCCACCGAAAATTGGCCAAACACCCACCAAAAACAAAAACAAGGATCGATCTCCTCTCACCCCAAAGGTGGCACAATTCCTCTGTGGGTAAGGGAGATGACTGAACTATGGGGGGAATCGTGCTGTCTACCTTCACCCAAATGTACTCCGATGATCAAAATGGAACCTAGCAACTCTCAAGCTTCCATTTAGCAGAGCCACGGGAATCCGAAAGGAATCCAACTATTTTGGGAGGTCCGCTACATTTTGAAACCAACTCAATATGGAATGCGGCAAATCGATCTTGCAGGCGGCTTCCGCCCTTCGGGGCTTGGCGTCATACATGTGCCCTACCTTCGTTGCCGTGGAACCTGAGTTCGGCCGCACATATTGCGAAAGGTAACAAACAAAATCCCTCATATAATCATCTACCGTGATTTACCTTGCTCATTGTGACTGGTTGACTTGCCAAAAAACATTGGGCATCCACCGGAGCTCCGTAGGGATTGAAAGCGGAACAACAGAGGAAACCCTCCATGGGCCACCAGTTTCGACACATCTAAGGCAAGCTCAGACTGCGAGCGCAGTGGCAAAGGCGGGGGTAAACAATGAGAATCCCAAAGAAGGAAACCTCGTAAGGATTGCATATACAAGATTTGTCTATACCGTTTGCACATATCCACATGGAAACTGCCAATGCGAGGTCGCACACCCCCTGGAGGTCGCTAGCAGGGACTTCTCCACAAACTAACTATAGACAGACGATCTGGAGCAATTTTAGTCCCCTTTTTAGGTAGGCTGAAAGGGCAAACGAAAGGAACCATTTGTGGGGGACCCACATGCCAGGCCTGAATAATTCGAATGGGTTTGTAGAGTGCCATTAAACCAAGTTGTCTCATGATCAAAGGACGACAATGTGTGGAAATTAGCCGAAGTCAGGAAGTTTGCCAAACCCTGTTTTGGTGGGTAGCTGATATTTGGCAGATCTTCCCCCAGGACAATGAACTCTTTGGCCCCTTATGTTCCCCATTCGCTTGTCGCCAAACCCCGCTTGGTTTGGGCAGCCAAGGGAAGGACCCCCCCCAACCTCACCTTGGCGGTCTCGATCATCTGCCGCCCATACGCGGTCACAGACGCGGCGATGGCTTGGCACGGCAGGGGGCCATTGGCCATGCCTCGAAGCATCCGCAAATGGGCAGCTCGGGAGCTCCGTGGATGGCTTGGCGATGTATCCGGGCTTCGTCCATCGCAACGGGTGCAAAATGGACGTTGGCCATCCCAACTCACTGTGCAGTGTCGGCAAACTCACGAGCCCGTAGGAAGGGGTCGCCTCTCCAATCGCGCAAGAAGAATCAAACTTTGCCTTTTCTGGCGCTGTCAGCTCAGCCCATGCGTATGAGTTTACGCATTGGGTGTGTGTGTGTGTGTGTGTCGCTGTTCTGCAAAGAAGGATCTGGAAAGAAGAGAGCGTTTACAACAGGTCAATGGGGGGTTGTCTCAAACTAGGTAATATCTTCCAAACTGGTGGTTTCCCTTTAATTTCGCTTTAAACCAATCAGAAAGAGTACCAAGCGCCGAACATATTGATAGTTGGCACTGCCCGAAGCGGAGTTGATTGTGGATCAGTTTGAGACCTGGGTTTGCTTCAAAATGGAAGCGGGGGGGGACGGTCATTATAAGGCCGCTACCGGTTGCATTGAGAAGAACACCGCCCACAGTGTCATGCCAATGGAGTGCTCTTTGGTCATGACAAACCATGCAGCAGGAACTGCTCCTACAAGGGCAACGCATTGCTGCTCACTCTTGCTGAGATCAACCATCATGATGCTGCTTCAGTAAAAACGGATGAAAGCCTACCTCGTCGCACACTATGTAGTGTCATGGTGTTGGCTTCTGGGGCCCGGTGGTTTCACGCCAAGGCAAGCAACGGTCAAACGCTTTTGAGGGGAATGCAAAGGGACTTGATTGGGCCCTCATAAAGCTCGGGATCTGCGAATCTGCTTGCCGGAATGGAATGGAGTGATTCCGCCTACATGCCACGAAGCCGGGAAAAGCAAAACGGGCCCTGCGCGCCTGTGAAGCCGTAAACCGAGTTGGCCGAGATCCTGGAAGCCGACAGGAGACTGGCCAGGGACATGGCCATGGGTCAAATTCCAAATCGTACCCCCAGAGAACATCCCAATCCCGCCAATCCCCGCTAAAATAGGTTCTAAAATGGGTGGTGCACTGGAAGCAAGATGAACCTTTGAACTAGAAACCACGGAGCCATGTCGGGAAGTTGCCAGTAGCATGCTGCCATGCGGCTGCCAACCACGACCACCCACAAACCGAGGACCACTCGCGGTTCCGAGGTTCCCCACATCTTCGAACATCCCACCAAAAGGAGCTCTAATTCCCGAATTCAAACTGCACTTCCCCAAAGCAAACTCCAAAAAAAAATGGGGGAGAGGGCGATGCGAAAACCACCGGAAGCACATCGAGTTCAACCACCCCGGTCTTGAGCGCCAGCTGCCGCCCATCCAACACGGCCCGCAGCTGCGTGTCTCCTCACGGCGTCACGGAGCCGAGCCGCCGAAAAAGCCGAAAATGCCGAGAAGGCCGAGAGCGCCAAAAGCCGCCGCACCTCCAAACAAGCCACCTGAAAATGCCGATTGACGTATCCCCCGCAACAGGTTACCCGTCACCTCGACCAAAGGCTTTCAGAAAGCTGGGCCGGTGGCGCCAGCCTTTGGCTTCCTCTGGGTCTCAAAACAAAACAACACGTGTGGTGCCTTGCGGCTTTCCCGCAGCAGCCCAAGAAAAAGGCACTATGCCCCTGCATTTTGACGCGAACTGATCCATCGCGAACCATCCAATCCCGATAACACCCAGCAAAGGATTGAATGGACACGTCCCCTATAAGCATCACCCCAGCCAGAACACTCAACCAACATGGGGCGGGATTCCGGACCCCATTCAGAGATCAGATCATTGAGCTAAGCTGGGATTTGAATGTGCCTCACCTGACACCCTACAAATATTGGGATAAACGCCCTAGCAACTGGTGCAGGTGTTTGTCCCTCAACAGTAGCGACATCCTTGAAATCAGCCTCCAACTGCTGGTTTCATGCGAACCACCCCAAAGCTCAAATTTCCCTCTTAAACAAACAGCAAATTAAAACCTGGTTCATGTCTTGATCAACGTTCAACCCTAAACCTGCGACTGATGTTTTTTGTTAGTTTAGTCAATTGCAAAGATGTGTCCGATGGTCCCAAACATTGACCCAGGTTTTTGTTTGGTTGTTTTTAAAGAGAAACCCCCTCCAATCAAGATTGAAACAGGGAGCAACCCACTGGAGGTTTGTGAACCAGCATGGCTCGGTGGGTCCAACATTTCTCCCTCCCCGCTTCTGGCTTCCAATGGCTTCCGACTCCTGGGGGCACCTGCTTCAGCTCCTTCTTGGCCCTTGCCCGCGCCGTCAGCAGCTCCTCCAGCACCATGGGCACTAGGCCTGCGAAAAGCATCGGACGGCTCCCCGAGACCTCCGCTCGTCCCCTGCCTTTCGGCGCCCCTTGCCCTTCCCTTGAAAACAACAAAAGAGCAGAGCGCCCTCCTATGGCCAATACTTTCTAACGAAGGTCCCAGAAATGATCGGCAGAGTAAAGAAACAGAGGCCATCGGTTGCTAGATACCCTTTTGGGACCACTGTGCCAACCCTAAAAACTGACAACCAACACCACCAATACATTAACTCTATGTGTCCACCATGCCTGCACGCCCCGAGCCTCAAGAAACAATCAATACCCCGAAGGTGGCCAGGTCTATCCATGCGCCGGGGAAAAGAACCTGGGCAAAGACGCAGCAAAGAGGGGGAACATTGGAAAGGGCCCCAAGAACTGAATCAGCAACATCAAACCACAAGGGGAACTTAAGGAAATGGGGAGAAAGAGTCAGAAAGCAATCATCGAAATTCAACATATTTGCTGCGCTGCTGGCGAAACATCATCTGATGAGAGTTTTGCAGCGTCTCTCAACAAAGTGCCTTCATCCCAAACTCCCTAACCACGCCTCTTCGTGGTTTCTTCCAATTAAGGCCTGAATAAAACATTCTTCAGGCCTCCCTTTGACAAGTTGGATCCTATGAAATGATGTTCCATTCCGAGACTTGCCCTTTTGCCCATTAATTTCTCAAGTCCTTGTGTCGCTGCTTTGGCTTCGGCTCCGGAAGAAGGTCAACTGCTGGCTGCTTCGTGCAAAAGATCATGGGCTTCAGGAGGTCTTCAGATATTCTCTTGAACCGATATGTCAAACACTAAAAGGTGTACTGTGTCCCCTGAAAGCACTGGCAAGTCAAACACAAAAAGTGACAGATGTCGCGCAGAGGTTCATATGATCTTGCCAAAACCAATGTGACAAACAATAAAGTGCCATACTTCCACAAGAGGTTCATATTCTCACAAAACCGACACGTGAAAAACCAAAAGGCGTCCTGCTTCCTCAAAAGCTTCACATTTCCCCCGCAACCAATGTGCAAAAAACATGTTTTTGTCAAGCAGTAAAACCCTCATTCGCCTGTGTAGAGGTGCATGTATATATATATATATATGTTCCAGTCATGCTCATATATATACATAAGGCTAAACCCCAATATGTCCCTACGAATCACTGGGGAGCCATCTTCGCAGGTCGAAAGAAGATGTCCGAAGCAAAGGGCCCGTTTCTCACGGGGCCTCTTCGCACCTTGGAGCTCACGAAGCGATGGCCCAGGCCCGGAACGACCTGGCAAGAACAAGCACAAAACAAAAACTAGAATGACACCAACATAACAAACACGAAAAATTGGGCGATCCACACAAGATTTCAAGAAACACTGCTACCATCCGAAACACACCTCCAGTCTTGGTCGTGTGTTTGGAGGCGTGTGGCTGGTGCTAAGGAAAATCTCCCAGGCTCGGTGGCTTGCCGTTTTGTATCAGACATACATGGCAGGCTTCATGTCCAACAATTGTGAGGATGTTCCAACCATTGACATTCATAGCGATGCGTCTTTTTCAGAGTTGGTATTCTTTTTGGGGCAGGTTTAAAAGGAGATCAATGGGAAATCAAAGATTCTGGTACTTCGAGAAAAGCCAGCATCGCCAAGAAATCTAATGGGAGACCACCTTAAGCATGGTTGCCATACGTGCCGCCCACCAAGGGTCCCAACCAAAAACGCAAATTCAGAAGCTCTCACGCCTTAGGTTCGCCAAACAAAAACTATCCTGTGAGATAGCATGGCCAATATATCGCACCAGAATTTGAATGCCACAAGGAGCATCGTTGTCCTTCACAAAGGATCGCATGGTTCGTCAATTACGCAGGCTCCGTGGCAAGGTTGTCTTGAACCTGCTTTTGCTTCAAGCATCAGCCAAACCCAACACCGAACCTTAAACAAAAAAACACCCCAATGCGGGAGCCCGCGACAATTTTGGAGGGAACCTGAAGCCAAAAGCACGGATCTCCAGGGTAATACCTGGCTGGACAAAACCAGAAACTCCCTCAAATCAAGCTCGGCCAAATACAAACCTGGGTAGATGCATGGGCGACAGCCCAACTGTAAACGAAGGCAAACGCTCTATTGGTCCTTTCTACGGCAATCTGGTTCTGACTCAATCAACAATAGAACCGCTGAGGAAGGCTTTCCCCTCTGGAAACCCAGCACTAGCAGCCCAACAACGATCCACCAGGTTGGCTTATCCGAGGTCACCGTTCCACCTTTTCAACTGGATAGCACGGCCAAGGGAAACCAGCCTGCTCCAGCGACTCCAATCCATCCTGAAGCACTTGCGGAACGAAGGGACCTGCCAGTATACCGTGGTTTTACCCATCTATGTGTCCATGGACCAACACTGACCAACAGATGAATATAATATTGTTTTATAGCTATATACTTATATAGGTACATGCGACAGACAGACAAACAGACAGACGGACAGACAGACAGACAAACTGACGGACAGACAGGCAGGCAAGCAGGCAAGACGGGCGGGCACGCAGACAGACAGACAGACAGTGGATGGCTGGGTGGATGGGTGGATGGATGGACGGATTGATGGATGGATGGATGCATGGATTGATCGATGTGGGTGGGTGGGTGGGTGGGTGGGTGGGTGGGTGGGTGGGTGGGTGGGTGGGTGGGTGGGTGGGTAGGTGGGTGGGTGGGTGGGTGGGTGGGTGGGTGGGTGGCTGGGTGGCTGGGTGGCTGGGTGGCTGGCTGGCTGGCTGGCTGGCTGGCTGGCTGGCTGGCTGGCTGGCTGGCTGGCTGGCTGGCTGGCTGGCTGGCTGGCTGGCTGGCTGGCTGGCTGGCTGGATGGATGGATGGATGGATGGATGGATGGATGGATGGATGGATGGATGGATGGATGTTGGCGCGATAGAACAAATTATTTGTGCACAGCATGAAGCACAGCGCCACGCCAGCACCGAACACATACAGCGGCGCCTAGCCAAAAGTTCGAACCAAGGAAGACGTTGCAGCAGTGTTGCACTTCCGATGCCCCAAAGTACTTCTAAATCTCCTGAGCAAAGCTGCGCGTTTTGATGATGCCACTGGCGCAGTGCCTGGAAAGTGCCCTCCATAAAGCCCAACACTGTGTTCTCATCAACCCCTGCCGGCTTGCATACACGAATTGGTGCAGGCCGTCGGCCTGTGCCAAGCCGAGCATCAAATGTGGCTTGCAAGTCAATGTTTGCATGACGCTGTGCAAACTGGCATTAAGCTGAGTCGCACGGTCTCCTCAGCAACTGCCTTTGAGTGCCTTGGGCCCTTGCCGTGCACCCGCGCTCGTCTTTGGATTCCGCTAGCAGCCGGGTGAAAGGCGAGCTTGCAAATTTGCATGGCTTGCAAAGCGGTAATGTAAACCCCGTATTAGTCTGTAACCCCCCCCCCTTGAAGGTTGGAAGGTTTTGGGGGGGGCAAGATTTTGGAAGGTTTTTTGCCTTGACCCCCTAAATAATCTGGAATTGAGTTTCCATTTGATTTAGTATTGCTGGGGCTTCCTTTTGAGATCTGGAATTGAGTTTCCATTTGATTTAGTATTGCTGGGGCTTCCTTTTGAGATCTGGAATTGAGAATCATGCAAGAGGCCATGCAAGCTTGGCATATGCCAGGATGCAGAAATTCATGCCCCAGTTGCAGAAGGAGATAGACATGAAGAAGAAAAATGTTGCCAATGGCGTCGTCCTATTAGAGAAGTATGGCCAGAAGGTCATGCGGGAAAGAAAGAAGACTTATGATCTGGCATGCAACAAAATGAAGAAGGCTGAGGCATTGACTTCATTGCAGATCGAGGCCATGGCCATTGTGAAAGAGAATTCTAAGCTGCAGATTTCAGATTTGCCTGCAGAGTATCAGAAGGCCATTGAGAAACTCAAACACTATGAGGTGGGAGTGTGCAGTAGATGCAGGTTCCAATCAGGCTGCTTATCATGCAGCATTGAGAAGCGCACAGCCTATTGGATGAGGAGGGAAGGCAAGAGATTAGGAAGAAGCATATGTGCAGAGTACATGCTGTGAATTGCATGCATGCGAGTTGTCAATATGGATGACATGTTCAGCCATTTCTAAGAAATGAGCTCAAGAAGCAGTGGAGAAAATGAGATAGCAGCAGCCATCTGGGGGAGGGACCGGTCTAATTTGGGGGGGGTTGTTTGGAACCTTTTTTTTAAGGGTTTTTTTTCTGAGATATGAATTGTTTAGTATTGGGGGGGTTCACCCGGACCGGACTAATAGGGGGGGGATATCTAATACGCTGTTAACATTATGTTGGATGGCGCCTTGTTTGGCTTCGACTTGAGGATATTCTTCTTGACATGCGTGGGCCTGCCCCGCTTTGCCGCTTGATGGGCTTGCCAGAGCAAAGCAAGCCAAACGACGCCAAGCAACACTAGAGCACCCAAAACGGCCCACAAGCCCGTGAGCGTGTTTCCAAAACATGTGTGCCAGCATGAGCGCAGTGGTTGTGGATGCGAGTGAGCGTGTTTATTTTCATTGGGTAAGTGATTGTGGATGCGTGTGAGCCTGTTTAGTGTCAATCCTGCCA